GTATGTATTCTGTCAAAAATCTAAGAATGTTTATTATTCTGTGACAATTTGATTTCAATCTTCTTATTTGTCAAGATAGGGAAAGTAAAAAACCATTATTAGATAGGAAAATTAAAAAACATTCCGGTAGAATATGTTATCATTCTCTATCATATCATTTCTGATAGAATATGTTACAAATTCTTTAAGAATATTCAAAATCATTCTGCAAGAATAGTTTATTATGTAAGAATATTTATTGTTGTATTCTATTATAATGCATTGAATTGTTTAATTTTTGAAAACTGATTATCTTTTCTTTGTGTATTTAGGTTTGAAGAGGCTAACATTGATGTGGAGAAGGAAGAAAACATATAGAACGAGAGTGTATTATATCAGAATGTGCTATGCTACAATGTATAAAGTGTTGATTAAAAATAATGTTTTTCTTAGATTTTGATGTTTTTTTTTTTCAGAATGTTGTTATTATTCAATTAATCACAATCATACAATGTAATTATTTGTTATATTATTAGTTCAAGAATTGATTTGTGTATTCTTTCAGAATGTTTATATTCTTTCAGAATAGATTAATATTTTTCTTAGATTTTGATGTTTTTTTTTTCTTTCAGAATGTTGTTATTATTCAATTAATCACAATCATACAATGTAATTATTTGTTATATTATTAGTTCAAGAATTGATTTGTGTATTCTTTCAGAATGTATTTACTAGTTTAGGTTTGACATTCTGCCATTCTGACAGAATAAAATCGAAAAATATATTTACTAGTTTATGGTTGACATTCTATCATTCTGACAGAATAAAATCGGATTTTTAAATTTGAATTAATTTAAAATATTCAGATTTTTAAAAAATAAAGAAATTAATCATTCCTAAAAATCCGAAAATTTCCTTTTTTAATATAGGTTAATTGACTAAAATGCCCTTATGTTGAAATTTGTGTGATTATATGGTACATGTTATCATATTCTACTATCATAGACCCTCAGATCAATGACCTTTGATTATATTCCATCCGATGGTCCAGATTTGTGCATTCTGGCACACAGTAGTTATTAAAAACAAAATAACCTAACCTTTTATATATATATATATATATATATATATAATATATATATATATATATATATATATATATATATATATATTTCCTAATAAAAATTAAATGATGCCTTTTATACGATTTTAAAGTTTATTCCTCTCCTAAATAATATTCTCCTACCACCTCTCAATCATCCCAATAAAGATTATTTTTTAACTTGGAAAACGATCCTGTCAATCATCCCAATCGTAGAGAGATTCTTTTTTTCACTTTGGGAAAGTACTTTGAACTCAGTCCTCTCCGTGAATCCTCAATGTTCATGCAAGTTTCTTCAAAAGTAAACCCTCTTTAAAACACAGCAAAAACGTACACTGGATTGATTCGTCGCACTACCTAGTGATCGATATTTTTGCAGAAGTTTTACAATATTCGTCAGATTTCTCGAGAAAAACAAACAACACACATATTCCGTGTCTTCCCCAAAAAAAACACACCAAAATTATTCTGATTTGGGTTGCTAATCAGTTGAACGGAAACATGCATTCCTCTGAGATTTCAGGAAACCCAACAAACCCTTTGAAGAGAAGTTTTGAAACGATGATTTATGATTCATCTAATAGCCAACAACCCAGGCCGTAAGTGTTTTGAGTTTCTTCAATTTATTAATCCTACTAAATGTGATATCATATAAAAACTAACTATGTCTTGATTAATGTGGATTTATTTGATGAAGCTCGGAAGACGTGATTATTCCCCAAACAAATTTGTCACCCAGAGAGTAAGACTCTTGGATTGATTATGTTTTCTTATCTGCAGTTCTCTATTTCTATTTGATTTGATATCCTTTCTGCTAATCTTGAATTTTAGGTATCAGTTGGATGTGTTTAATGTGGCTATGCGGCGTAATACCATAGCTCATCTGGACACCGGCGCCGGAAAAACAATGATCGCCGTAATGATCATCAAACAAGTTGCACTTTCTCTTAAAAATCAACTATCTGAAAAGAAACTGATGATCTTCTTGGCCCCAACTCGTAATCTTGTTGAACAGGTATAGTATGAACACCATTTATAAAAATATTGGGTAATTTACGTTTATTAGACTCTGCCAACTTAGTTGAAGATAGAGAAACGAGGGAGATAGATAAGTGGTAAATTTTGTTATGAAATCCAAATCAAATTTGAAGATAAGTGGTATCTGTTTTGAATTGCAGCAATGTAAGGTTCTTAGGGAAAACACAGATCTTATGGTTGATTTTTACCATGGGACTAAAGTGGGTGTTGGTAAAAATATCGATGGAAAGAAGGTTGATGAATGGGATGCTTCCATTTGGGAACACGAGACAAGTAAAAATCAAGTGAGTTTATTTCTGATTTTATAAAAGATTAGAAGTTCGCATCATCATTTTCTTATATTTTAATAAAAGCTTTGCGTATGAGTGCTGGTGTTTTCATATCGTTTTTGTTATATTTTAACAGATAATGGTTATGACTCCTCAAATTTTGTTGGATTCCTTGAGGAATGCGTTTGTGAACTTTGAAAGAATATGTTTATTGATTATTGATGAGTGTCACCGAGCTACTGGTAATCATCCTTATGTAACCATAATGAAGGTAATTAATTATCTTTCACTATTAATATAAATGATTTTGTGATGAAAAAAATATGTTGGTGAGGTTTTATCTTGTTCTTTTTGAAGGAATTTTATCTCAAAGCTGTTGACAAGCCAAAAGTATTTGGCATGACTGCATCCCCTGTAACTAAAAAAGGTTAGTTTTTTTTTTTTTTTTTTTAGTTTCTTCCATCTTTTTAAATCTAAAGACTTTGAAATTGTTTATAACATTGGGCGTAAGAATGTGAAATTCTCCACTCATGGGGTCTGAATCATGTTGCATTTCTGTAACAAGGTAGACGTTAAATATGGGTGTTTCTTGTTATCTTAATGCAAAGAGAACAACTTAATAGAGAAAGTGAAGGAAAGAAGTCTTTCCCCATTATGTCCTAACTTCTAACAAATACCTATTTAACATCTTTTATCCAGTGAACAATTGATGTGGAAATAAATCAATAATAAGAAACAAGATCTATCATCCATGATTGTCTCAAAACTTACATTTCATTCTGCGTTGCTCAATATGATTTGCAATACACGGATCATATTCAGTGATGCAGGCTGAGAACGTGAGTAGCAGGGCACACATTGGTGGTGGATGTTGTTCTTGACATATTTCCTTTAGATACTTTTTTTTTTTTTTTTTAAATTTGTATTTATGCACAATTTTTCCAATATTGAAGGTAATCAACATATAACTATATACATCTTTTGTACTATAATTTCTACATTAGGTGTCTCTTCGACTGAAGACTGTGAAGCACAAATGACAATGCTTGAAAGCATGTTGGATTCTCGGGTAGTAGAAATCACAAATCATAACTCACAAGTTTAAATCTTTATTTAAAAGTTATTTGGAATATGAAAATTTGTTGATTAAAATTGTTTTTTGTGAATGTGAAGGTTTACACAATAAGAAACAGGACAGAGCTGGAGAATGTCACCCCATCTGCCTCACATTCCTATTGTTTCTATGAGCCATCTAAGGTTTCTCATTCAGAACTAAAAGCTAAACTGGAATCCTCAAGATTTAAGGTGGAATATGTTAAAAATTACGGATTTTTTTACAATAAAAACTGAACCTTGAGAAATAAATCATTCCGTTTTCTTTTGTTCCCCTGTTTTAATGACAGTTTGAAGCACAACTGCTGGAGTTGCAAGTGTCGCTACAAAGTAATTACAAAGATACCGATGAAAAACATGAAATTCTAAGAAAGAGGTTGTCTAATGATTACACTAAGGTTGTTTATTGTCTTGATGAGTTGGGGCTTTTGTGTGCTTATGAGGTATTGTTTTTTAAGCAATTTAAAGAGTAAACTTTTAGTTCAGAATCACTAGTTTAGCTCATTTATATTATTTATTGTTTTTTAGGCTGTTAAAATTTGTATAGAGCATGCCCCCAAAGCTGTAGAAGAATGTGATTTTTTTCAGAAAAGCTGCTCACAATGTTTTTATTTCCTTGAGGAAGCTTTGTCTATCATTGGGGAATCTTTGCCAAATGGTATGCTATTTGGCAACTTTTATTCTTTTTGACTATCATCTTTCATAGTTGAGAATTTTATGAATTTGTGGAATGATTAGTTTTTAAATTTATTTTCATATATTCAGGCCATGAACATATATTTGATGCTGGATGTGATTATAAGAACATGGTTGCAGCTGGTTATATCTCACCAAAACTATATCAATTCTTGCAACTTTTCCTGTCATTTGGGTAATTAAATACTCCCTCATTTCATCATGGAGTCTCTCCATCTTTATATAAAGGGTTTATTCCATAAAAGACCCTACATTTTGTCATTTTTCTGTTTTATACCTATTTTTTTTTTTTTTCAAAATAAACCCAACTATAACCTTTTATTTGTTATTTCATTAATGGAGCCGGTTACCAACAGGTAAACCTATTGGGTTTATTCTATAAAAGACCTTACATTTTGCCTCTCTTTTTTTTTTTTTTTTTTTTTTTCCGGATTTTGACCTAAAAAAGAATTGATTCTAAAACTAGGTCATATGTCTCCTCCTTCTTCTGCACCACATTAGGTCCCCTGAAATGCTTATTCCTTGAGCATCAGGAACAAAAACTTAGTAAGGATTGCTGAAATGGAATTCTGTTATTGTGAGAATGAAGCTCCTCTATTTGCCTCCTATCCCAAGGCTGTTTTCACAAGAATGAGTTTGTTTTTAAAGGTTGTCCTAATGTTGTTTTCACAAGGTTTTATGTCATGTTCATTTTAACAGTGTATCGGGATTGTTTTAGAAGCAATTGCTATTTTTTACCTTTAAACCCATTTTGCATGCCATTTTATTTTTTCCCAACAAAAAATATCTTATTTGCAAAACTGTCCGAAAACATATTATCGGTCATTTTAACAGTGTATGGGACTGTTTTGCAAATAAGTTGCTATTTTTTGTTAGGATAAAAATTAACTGTCATGCAACATACTTGGGTCAAAATGGGTTTAAAGGTCAAACTTGCTTGCAAAACAGTCCCCATATACCGTTAAAATGAACATACCATCAGAACTTGTTAAAACAACCGTGGGATAGCCTTTGACAACAGACTTGGTCTTGTGAAAACAACCTTGTTACAGGAGGTAAATATGGGGGATTCATCCTCACAATATCATAATTCTATTTCAACATTCCTCACTATGTTTTTGTTCCTGATTTGCTTGAGGAGTAAGCCATTTTAGGGGACCCAATGTGGTGTACAAGAAGAAGACAAGAAACATGACCTAGGGTTTTAGAATAAATGATAAGCCCTCGAACAGAATATAAACAGATAAGAACAGAACAATCACGTAAAGGAAGAAGACTTCAATTTCAGAGGTAACTCTCCATTCTTTCGAGAGGAATGGAGCTCTCCAAATGAGTGATAAACACAAATTTCTTCCCTCCCTCACACTAAGACTAGGCATGCTTAAATACTCACAGGCATGGAATGGTCCCCAAAAAGCCTGGCTAGACAACGTTAGTGCTAACACCACGACACTACGACCCATAACAGCAAAAAAACACTAAAAGAACATTCCTGCAGAGGGCACAAAAGACTAAACTGCCCCTGCCACTTATTTGGGCTAAGTGTTGTTCACGTGGGCTGATCCAACGTTTGCCTTATGCTTCCTCCTTTGGTAGACCTTCAACTGCTTGGGCTCATCAATAAAGTTCTTCTTTTAGGTGATCTATGATTAGGATGCACGTGACCTAGGGGGGGATATAGGGTTACCTGTTACCTTGGTAACATACTCCATTAATAAAATAACAAGGTATAGGTTAAAGTTGGGTTTTTTTTGAAAAAAAGAAGTTTTAGGTCTGAAGTGGAAAAAGGCCAAATATAGCGTCTGTTATAGAATAAACCCAATTTACTTGTTGGTTTCAAGCTCCATTAATGAAACAATGAGGAATAGGTTAAAGCTGGGTTTATTTTGCAAAAATTTTTTAGGTCTAAAACGGAAAAAGAAAGAAAGTATAAGGACTTTTATGGAATAAACTCTTATATAAATGAGTATTTTGCTCAAAATATAAGTGTTTGGGTATCTTTTCTTTGAGATGCAAATAAAACCACTTATACATATTTGAAGTTCACTATCACTAAACACCTTAAATTATTATGTTTTTGGTAGATTTTACAAGGGCAAATTGTAGGAAATAGCAATGCACTTAACTCTTTTTACCAATATAGGCAATGTACTTTATTTTTTACCCATAATATCTATAAACCTAAATATACCTACCCATAATAATATTGTACTCACATTGTTTACTGATAATAGCAATTAATAGCAACGTACTTACAATTCCTTACTTATAATAGAACATATTTACATTTCTTTACTGATGATAGCAATATGTAACAAATAAAGTACAATGTCCAAATCAGTAACAAAATATAACTACATTGCTTAATAAGCAAAATATGAAATGCATTGCTATTATTGGTAAAGAAATGTAAGCACGTTGCTGTTATGGGTAAAAAATAAATTTCATTGAGATTTAACAAATCCAATAACTAGTTTGGGGATTTTGCTTTCAGGGAAGCTACACAAGTATTATGCCTTATTTTTGTAGAAAGAATTATAACAGCTAAAGTCATTGACATAATCTTGAAGAGAGTTGAAGACTTGTCTCATTTGACTGTTTCATATTTGACTGGTAGTGCAACATCCGTTGATGCAATGTCTCCAAAACTGCAAAAGGAGACTCTTGATTCTTTTCGCTCTGGGAAGGTATACATATTCATATCTATTATGTTCCAATTTCAAAAAACTGCTGTAGAATCTTCTTATAAATTTTAACACATTAATAAGGTTTACATTTGATATCCAAGTCCATGATAGCAAATGCTTACCTCTTTTAATGTCGTTTATGCATGTAGCCATAGGCATACTTGTTATTTTGTCCCTTTGGTTGAATCTTAAAAGTGAAAATGAGGTGTCTCTCTCTGAATCAGGTGAATCTACTAATTGCTACGGATGTTGTTGAAGAAGGGATTGATGTGCCAAAATGTTCAACTGTCATCCGTTTTGATATCACAAAAACAGTTCGTAGCAATGTCCAATCACGTGGAAGGGCTCGTCAAACCAACTCCAAGTTCATCATCATGCTTGAGAGGTAATCATCATCATCATCATCATCATCATCATCATAACTTCTTCCCATGAAAAGTTATATTTTAGAAGATGTTTCAATAGGGGAAATGCAAAGCAAAGGGAGCATGTTTGTGATATCATTCGAAGTGAACAGACCATAATGGAAAGTTCCAAAAAAAGAGACCCCAACACAGGCGTTGTAGAGCCATGCAACTTCAAAGAAACAGAAGCTTACTTTGTTGAGGCAACAGGAGCTTCAGTCACTGCAGATTCTAGTGTTAGCCTCATTCATAGATATTGCTCAAAACTCCCTGGCGACAAGTACGATTGATTCCTTTTTTTATTAAAAAGTTTATGAAGTTTGTGTCTCAAATTCTCAAGTTTTGCTTGCTTGTGTTGTGCCATAGGTTTTACACACCCAAACCAGATTTCCAATTCTTACTGGTGGAGGATTCATACGAGTGTAAAATGACTTTACCTCCCAATGCTGCATTTCAAACCATAACGGGTCCTCGGTCTAAGACCTCACATCTTTCAAAGCAGCTTGTATGTTTGGAGGCCTGTAAAAAGTTGCACCAAATGGGGGGACTCAATGACCATCTTCTCCTAACAATGAAGATCCTTCAAGAGATATCACATCTGCTAAAAAGACTAAAGAACAATCCTCTGGTGCAGGTGCATATTAGATATGGAATGTATATTCATTTTAGGGTTTCTTTTTAATGTAATTTGAAGCATCGTTTCATGTTGTTTTGTTATGACAGGGACTACAAAGAGGAAGGAGCTACATGGAACCACACTCATTCGTGCACTATCAGGGACTTGGGGAGACAAAACTGATGATGGGGCAAATTTTTTTGCTTACAAAATCATTTTCTCATGTAGTGTTGTCGATGTGCAATATTCAAGTTTCGTTCTTTTGGTTGAATCTAAACTAGAGGATGATGTTGGCAATATTGAAATTGAACTGTTTTTGGTTTCAAAATTTGTGAAATGCACTGTTTCTTCATCTGTGGAGTTGCATCTCAATGGAGAGCAGGTATGAGCAAAAACTTATATTTAACACTCACTTTAAAATAGTTTGTGAAAGCCAAGGTTTTAGGTGGGACAAAAAAGCTGCAATTTTTGTCCCATTGAAATCAGTCCAAGTCATACTCCATGTCATACGGGCCATATCCTATCATGTGTTACAAAAGTTTTAATCATTGACAAATCTTTACATCTTTGGTAACTCTTGACCTCCATCTTTTAATGTTATGTTTTTGGTTTCTTTTACTAGATATCAAAAGCAAAGTGTTTCCAAGAAGTATTCTTCAATGGTATATTTGGGAAGTTGGATATCGGATCCAAACAAACAACATTGTGGAGCTCATCATACATTTACTTGTTGTTGCCTTTGGAATCAGTAGAACCTTTAACAATCAATTGGAAGACAATTGACTCTAGTGTATCCGCTGTTGACTTCATCAAGTCTCGTAATGACATAAGTGAAGTGAAGAGTTTGGATTTAGTCATGACTGATTCCAATCACACAGAGATTGTTCACTTTGCAAACAAATCTGTTCATAAAGATAACATAAAGGACCTTGTAGTTTTGGCTTTTCACACTGGGAAAATCTACACAGTTCTCGAGGTGCTTGAAAATGAAACCGCAGATAGTCCTTTTGATGGAAATAGGTTTTCATCATTCACTGACTATTTTGACAAGAAGTATGGAATTGCTCTACTACACCCAGCACAACACATGGTGCTGCTAAAGCAAAGCCATAAGGCACATAACCTTCTTGTGGACTTCAATAATGAAGGTTTCTTGAAATATACGATGTGATGATTTTAACCATATAAAATAGAATTCGTTAATTAACGATTTGTTTGTTGGTATTTTTAGGTATTTTACATGGAAAGAAGATACGTTCTGAGAGTTGTAAGGTGAATACAGAGAGGCAGAGATACAATGCTCGCATACCACCTGAACTTTTAGTTGTTATTGATGCAAGACTTGATGTTGTGAAACCTTTTTATTTGCTACCTTCATTCATGCATCGCCTTGAGTCCTTGATGTTGGCTAGTCAGCTTCGTCAACAGATCACTTCCCATTCTACTGACATACATGTCTCCAGCTCATTGGTTTGTACTTCTATTATCTTCATTGAAGCTTTGCGGGTTGTACTCTAGACATACATCACTACCCCGGGAGTACAACCCACAGCTGCATATCTAAAGGAATGTTTGCAATCCCATTAATATCATGATTCTTGTCTCCTTTTAGATTTTAGAAGCCATCACGACTCTTCGATGCAATGAAAGTTTCTCCATGGAACGATTGGAGTTGCTTGGTGATTCAGTGCTGAAATATGCAGTCAGTTGTGATCTTTATCTGAAATACCCAAACAAACATGAAGGACAGCTGTCTTCTCGGAGATCATGGCAAGTTTGTAATTCCACCTTGTACGATTTGGGAATCGGCGTCCATTTACAGGTATGCTCTAAAGATTGTAATCCATTGCTAATAATATTAGCAAAATCTCTGAAACAAAAATTTCTTGAATTGTTTACAGGGTTTCATAAGAGACAGTGCGTTTGACCCTACTCGATGGACAGCGCCAGGTCAGCATCCTTCAAGACTTTACCCGTGTGATCATGGCATCGAGACGACAGATGTGCCAATCGACAGCAAATACCAGAGTGAAGATACGAAAACTTTACTTGGAAAGTGGTGTGATGTGGGCCACAGGTGGATGGGGTCAAAGACAGTGTCGGACTGTGTTGAGGCCCTGGTGGGAGCTTATTATGTGGAAGCTGGTTTGACCGGAGCTCTTCACTGTATGAAATGGTTGGGTCTGAGTTGTGAGCTTGATGAATCGCGCATCAATGAAGCCATTAAAATGGCTTCACTTCATGCATACACCCCAAAACTTCAAGTGCTTGAGTGTGTAGAGTCGAAGATTGGGTATGAATTTGTGGTGAAGGGTTTGTTATTGGAAGCCATCACTCATGCTTCAGGTCAAGAGCAAGGAGTTGGATACTGTTATCAGGTAGGCTTTCTTATGACTTTGCCTATCATTCCTTTTTATTACAACATAATAGTAATAATGCTCTACTTTTAGAGGTTGGAGTTTCTTGGGGACTCAGTGTTGGACATACTGATTACATGGTATCTGTACAAAAAACACAAAGATATTGATCCTGGAGAACTAACGGATCTACGTTCGGCATCGGTTAATAATGAAAATTTTGCATATGCTGCTGTCAGACGCAACCTTCATCACCACCTTCAGTATCGCTCTGGCTTTCTCAAAACTCAGATTGAAGAGTATGAGAAATTTGTGGCCACCTCTTCCACTGATACAAACTCTCTCCAAACCAAGAAATCCCCTAAGGTTAGTTTACCACTTCTCATCTTCTATTTCTTGCATAAACTGGACACCAGTAGTGATTGATCCAAATCCAATGCATAGTGTTTGGATGATGGATATGTAACCAGGGAAGGAATGGAATGGCTCATTCCATTGGGTCCCTAAGTGTATATTATGGTCTAAGCGGGCCATTGCTTTATTGGTTTGTGATGTAGGCACTTGGTGACCTGGTTGAGAGCATTGCTGGGGCCATATTACTTGATACCAAGCTCAATCTTGATGAAGTTTGGAGAATCTTTGAGCCATTATTATCTCCAATTGTAACACCGAATAAACTTGAGCTTCCTCCTCTACGTGAGTTGATGGAATTATGCGACTCAATGGGTTATTTCACTAAAGAAACTTGTAGAAGCAATGGCGATATGGTAATTTCTGAGCTAAGGTTGCAGCTCAAAGACGCCCTGTTGGTTGGTAATGGAACAGGTCAAACCAGGAAAGTTGCAAGGGGTCAAGCTGCTCTTCAATTGTTAAAACAGCTAGAGGTTTTTAGGGTTTTCTTTTTATTATTCATTTTGCCTTGCCATTATTAATGTTGTCTTTGACATGTTTATGTGATTTGATTCGACAGAAAAGAGGGATTTTGAGGAAGGATAATCAAGATGGGGAAAGCGATAATGAAAAGAATAAGAAAAATGAGACAACCCCATCAAAGATAAGTCCTAATAAGGATGCTAAGATAGCTCTGTTTGATCCTCAGCCATCAATGAAGGAGGAATTAGGATCTAATTCCAAGGTTGAAATCCCAGGTAATCAATCATCATAGATCTTTGTTAATTTTGATCTACAACAGGTTTTGAATTTGATGTTGGTTTGAATGGCATAGCAGTGATAGAGTGTATCAACATGAAGAAAGGAGGACCAAGGATTGCACTTTATGAGCTGTGCAAGAAAATGCAGTGGCCCATTCCCAATATCACAGCATCAGAACAAAGATCAATGTTAGTAAATTTTGCTTCATATTATTTGTACATAAATGACACAAACAGCTTCCAAATGAATCATGATTTTGCAGATCTCTGGTTGAAATTGGGGAAGGGGTTGAGAAAAGAACAGGGTTTAATACCTTCAAGTCACATATCAGCTTGACTATTCCTGATTATGGTGTTATACAACTCACGGGGGACCCACGTGCAGATAAGAAGACTTCTTTTGATTCTGCTGCCTTACTCATGCTCTATGAGCTCCAACGACTCAGAAAGCTCAAAATTGGCTAGAAGAATGAAAGTGGACATGTTTGTAGATAAATAAATAAATAAATAAAAGGATTTAATGGGGAAAACTTGCTTTCTCTCATATTTTCAGTATTAAGTCAAAAATAAACATCCATACATAATACATAGCTTACTAGAATAACTCTTGTTCTCATAAATGAGGTCAATTTGGAACAAGTACTATGATCTGGTCAACAACTCGTAGACATTTTTATTGTGGTCCCCAGATACACGCTTGAGCATCTGAAACCTTCTTCGACTCCCTAAGAAGTCAATGCGTTTGACTTCTACAACTTCTTTGGTGGAGTAGTTTGACCGTAGTTGTTCAGCATGTCTAGAATCGGTGTGGATGGCTAACTCTATCTCGGATGTTGACATGTTCTCCTAACAACAACAAATGCTGAATAGTGAGTTTTAAGCAATGAGTTGACTCAGTCTTAATTGTTGGGTAGAGAAAAGTGTTTACTTGATAAAAGGAGTAGATGTGATGTAATAGTTGCCAACATGTGAAGCCTGTGTTGTTGAAGAACGTCCTCGAATACGGGCCCATCTCCCCAAACCGGTCCACCGGAAACAATATTGTAATGAAATGGTTTCCAAAAATCAACTCATTTTTTTCCCTGCACCAAAAAGAACAATATATATATATATATATATATATATATATATATATATATATATATATATATATATATATATATATATATATATATATCATAACATAAAGATACAAATGGGCTAAGCCTTGTGACCTTACCAAATTAGCACAAGGTAAAAGAAAAGAAAAGATGATGTGAAAAGTAACCTTTCGGAGAGTGGTTGCAAGAAGTTCACGAAACAAGCATCTGGAACAGATGTGTTGGCATCATCAATACTGAATGAGTTGTTGTTACAGATATATGCGGTCAATGATGGCTCCGACATAATCCAGTTTATTGAATCCAGAAGGACGCTTGGAGCTGATGGTTTTATCGCCTGAGCACGGCGATTCCTAACTCCCATTTTAGCATGCATTGCAATGCTTTGATTTTCTTTATGGCTAGATTTCATGATATTTCCATCCTAAAACTCATCAAGTTACATATACAATAACAATATGGAACGATTAATAGAAATCATTAGTATCTAACATTTACTTTTTTTTTAAATTGATTTGCCCATGTTACCATTTGTTGCAAAGACGATCAAGGCAAGTCATTTACTTTGTTATATTATTATTAATTTATTTTAATAATATTATCATATCGTTCTTATTGATTCATGAAATTGTTTATGTAACTTTTTATTCCATCAATATTATTGCCTTGTTGGAACTTGGAAGCATTGATACGATACTTACGAAAGTTTTTGATGTAAATTGACCAAAATACCATTTTGCTCCGGTAGATACAACAAAATTAAACTGGGCCGATTTTATACCTTTTGATCGTTGCCACCTGGAACATTCCGCATCGTCATTCCTAGGTGGCGTGCCAAGTCAGCAGACAAATGGACAAGCCTCTGTGTCCTTGCCTCCTTCACAGTCTTCAGAAACCATAGAGGCTGTGGTCCATCATTTGGTATTGATCAGTAAAACATATATATACAGATGATGAGCGATATATACGTATCATATTATAAATTTTGTAAAACTTACAGTAATAAGATTATTGTTGGATTGACCGAGATACTTTCCAACCGAAGAAGCTTCACATACCACATGAGTTGCCTGTTGACCAACCAACCATTCATTCACTAGTAAACCACCTTCGTCCCGAGCAGCCTCCACCACCTTGTTCCTCAGCTCAACCGGAACATCAGGGTCAACATACACGCTTTCACCCGAAAACATAGAACCTCTTCTTTTCTTCTCTTCTAAATGTAATCTTGTTCTTTGTATCAGTTTAGATTCTTTAACATTATCCACCATAGCATTAGGAAGACAAGAATTTCGGTTTAGATCCTTCTTAGCCATATAATCCTCTCCAAAACTCTTAACACCGTATAATGATTCGTTCAATCTCACTAAACACAAGAAAAAAAAAGAGCAACATTAGTTTCTACGAAAAGGGCTATTCTTTTGGGAAGCCTTGAGCTGGCCCACAAGCCCAATCATGACAAAGAAGAATTGATGAAGTATATATATATATATTTTACCGTTTTTTCTTACGCTATCAACAAACCATCCAAGTGTAACGATGAAGAGATCGTGCTTTGATGCATACGCGGATTTACGTTCATGGAAGCTGTAGATATTCGTTAAGTTACTCATCAAGATCATATACTCTCTCCATTTCCTTTCCCAAAAAGAGTTTTTTAAATTAACTGATAGTATTATATTGATATGGGTTCTTCGCAAGATCTTTTTGTTAGATATTTAATTTGACAAATAGTTATTTGGCATAATTATTCAAGCGTGTACACTTTGGGTATAAATATCAAACTAAAAATGGAAAAAGGATATCTGAACCACCAAATGCGTACACTTTGGATGTAAATGGGAACTAAATTGACCACCCAATCGCTCAGTTGCATGCATCACTTGTTTTCTTGCTTCTGTGAGTCGGTCAACATCAAGAAGAAAATCAAAGAAAAAGTCAAAGATTTGGCCAGCAAGACTTCTTCTAAATCTTATGTAAGACAGGTAGGTGAAACCAAACAGAAGAGTTCGTTAGTTCAAATAAAGTAATAATGAATGCACTTCGTGACACAAGAATGGAAGATGTAAAGAAAAACAAGAACATTAATAAGTCCAAAAACCATACTTTTGTGGTCAAAGTAATCAATTTCACCATTCAAAATTTAGCATCATGCAAATTAAAAAGAAAAGAAGGGATTGTGTTCGATTATGAAAATACTGAAGTTTTAAATTTCAAAGTAATAACATAATCATTTAGGCGTGAATTTGAAAATTAACTTTCATCATAGCAAAAGTCAAAGTTTTTCTTTGGTGTTGTAACAAAAGTCAAAAGAAAGATCAAGGATGCATGGCATGTTCTAAATATTTAAGTTGTTGAATCACAAGGGAAAGAAGCGAATCGAAGTCATAAAACATTATTTCATTGTTCATAAAGGTTGCAACTTTTATAAAATTCATATTGTTTGACTACCAGTTAAAATATCCAAGAACACCAAGATCAATATGATTACAAAGATAATAAGTACTTTAAATCGTTGAAATTTGTACGATAGAGAGATGACAAAAAATAAAACAGATTGATCAACCAGAAACGGTTAAAGATCAAAAGAAGAGATGATTAAAGGAAGACTGAATCACCTTTGGATAGACCAGTAACACAAATAACAAGACCAGAAAATGGGGAATTCGAGGTAGAACGAAGAAGAGAAGGACGTGGAGGTTGAAGATGAAGATCTCTGGAAGAATTAGTATTCAATGTACAATTCATATCTGAATACATCTTTGAACAACCATTGCTAGTGATCACCTCCGATATACCACTCCCAACCATCGTATTTCAATAATTTAACGACAAATCTGAGATGGGTGTTCAAGATTTTTGCATAATTGACATGGGATTTTGAACTTAAACCAAATACCACATGGGTTTAGGATTTAAACAGGAAATACAAAACAGAAAGATGAAATTGAAGTGGGGTTTTGAAAAGAATAGAGAAAGGGGAAGCTTTTTATACGGAAAACACATAAACAAATAGAATGAAGAATGAAGAGAATGTTGGAATCGTGAAAAAGGGGACGAGAAAGTAAGGGAATATCTATTGGAGATTGGTATTCAAATTCATGAAACCAAGAAAGGCTCTTTGTGTCAATTTTTCAGAAATTTGCATAACAAAGTGATAGTGAGCATGAGTTCTTAATGCTTTTTACACTTTTTTTCTGGTGGTGTCGGGTCAAGAAAAGAAGAATTTGGGTGGTATTAGAAGCGACGAGTGAGGGAAAAAGGGAAGTGAGGGACTTTATGATGGGTCTTTTCAGAATCACGCCATGGCAATCTTTTGTTTCATCAATACGAAGTGATCTCCACCTCTTTTTTAATCTCTCTCCACCTTTTAAATAAGATTACTACTCAATCTATTATCCTTAGATACGTGAAAAATTATTAAGTTCATGCCTATGAAAATGCTTTATAACAGACAAACCATTGAGAGTCACCGTAGCTTAGCAAAACCGAAATTGAAAACCAAGAAACCGATAAAAAGTGACAAAACCAAAACCAAACCCAAATCGTTGGTTTTGGGTTAAGATTTTTAAAACCGAAAAGTTCGGTTTTGGTTCGCGTTGAACTTTTGTTACCGACACACAAACTGAAACCGACCCAATATATAAAATTGAACCATAAATCGATACCAATCTATACATTATATAATTAGGTGTGAGCCCGTGTAGTACACGGGTTGATTTAAAAAAATATTAAACATTAAAGCGTAAATAAAAAATATTTTTTAATGTAAAACTTTAAAATAAAAAAGAAATAAACATATTTATTGCAATTTAATATCATATATATGATATTTAATACTTTACATATATAAGTATATGGTTTTAATTTTAAAATTGAAACAAACCAAAAATTGACAAGTGGATAATATTTATTTCAAAAATACCACAAAATGACAAGTGTCAAAACTCATGAGAGATTGACACGTGGCAAAAAAAATCTTCATTTATTAAGGAGGATATAATATATTATTAGTAATTATTGTATAGTAGAAGGTAGAACTAGAAGCATAAGTTAGTGCTTAAGCATGAGTTCATATATTATGAATAATTATTGTATACTAACTTACTAAGTTGAAACCGAAAAACCAAAACCCAACAACCCATTAGTTGAAACCGAAAGCCGATCTAAGAAACAAAAAACCGAACTCATTCAAAAATCGTACCGAAATACCTAATGGGTTTCAAAAGCCAAAAGTTGAACTTGTCGGTTTAGTTTCAGGTTTACCTCAAAACCAACCCATGCTCAACCCTAAGAAAAACCCAACCAATTATAACTCATTGCACAAAAAACTATTATGTAATTATTTCGTACAGTAAACCTGTTTTATGTTCTGATTTTGTATAATGAAACCTTTATCCGACCCTCCATTCCCCTGCCCTCCATTCCCTATATGTTTCTCTTCAGAAACATCTTGCTATTATTAGAACACTTTTCTGAATCACAAATACATAATTATCCCTTAGAATTTGTCATAAGTTCATCATAGATCCCTACTAGTCACTTCGTTACCAGTAATTTGCAAGTTGAATGGATTCAAACCATAGAAAATATATATATATATATATATATATATATATATATACACACACACACACACATACACACTACATACCCATAAATTTTAGGCCCCCTGGAGACGTGGGTCCTGGGCGGTCGTCGGGGTTGCCCACCGTTTGGACCGGCCCTAAATAACAAATATTGTCTCAAATTTTTAGACTTGATTTTAGACCCCACATGCAAAAGTTACACAATTTACAAATATTAATAACAAGTTTTAATTGGTCGAGTATATTATGCCTTGCAAATCCGCTTGATCGAGTGGATCCACCGCAGTGGCAGAGCTTGAACAACTAACTTGGGGGGGGGGGGGGGGGGGGGGGGGATAAACTGAAATTAACATTCTTAAAAAAAACAAATTGTTTTCAACAAATAAACACCAAAAACAC